AACGGGCCCTACGTGCTTCCCGATCGCGTCAAACATCGGATTCGGGAGAAAGTTAGCTAATCCGATCTTCGCCGAATCCTGCTGGACAGTCTCGCGCCCACCTGATAGCTTTCTGAAACGAAAATCCGAGTCGGCAGTACCTTCTTCATTGAAGCCTTGCAGACGTAATATAGCGACGTGATCGTCATAATAACGTGCTTGAATCTAGGGTTGGCTTCGAAGGGCTGGCTATCGGCGGTATGAACAGTGACCGATTTGCGTCAAAAGACAAGCACTTGGGTAGAAGGATACCGAGAAATAAATACGAGCTGTGTTGTATGATTTGCAATCACACAAAAAGGCGCTCATATGGTGCGCGCAAATTCACCACAACGGAAGCAACACTTTGGCTGTGGGACTGTCGGCTGCAAAAACTGCTCATTTGGGACCCTCTGAGTGAATAAGGTTTTTTCGGGTCCATTGATACGGCGTAAGCTCATGTGTTCAGGGGCAAATGATATTCGAATAGCTCACAATCGACAAAACTCTAGAAACCGGTATCGTCGAGTGTGCCGTTACATACAAGGCTTTAAATGGTGAAGCTGGCCGATGAATAAACGGGGAACAATTCGGCAAAGCGCCTTTAGGCTATCATCTCTTGCTGTTGATATCGCCTTCAGCAATCGATATAAAATCAAACATGGCAGGTTCGTCGACAACCACATTCTCCATCGAGGAAATTTGGTGTTGGACCGTGCTTGATTGAAATCGGCAGGTTAATACATGAACCATACAATTTCCATATATCCAGGACGGACGGGCCAATCAGTCGACGACCCCTCGTTCGCGTTGTTAAGCGACTAAGGACTTGGTGTCGTCAGAGTCGGACAAACGAGATTCTTCCGTCCTTCAACAATGTCACGCGGCGGAGCTGCTCGTATTGTTGGCTCCTGCGTGACGGCTCGGTAGGTCGAGATGACAATCGAGACTTGGGTCAGTCTGACACTGTCCTGGTAGTGTGGAGCATCCTAGTCGGTCCGAAATGATAAGCACAAGACGGGCATACGGGCGATTTCATCGGTCGTAAGGCCAGAAGAGAGAAACTGCTGAAAATACTTCAAAGTGATCACCGTAATCTGAAGGTCCTTCTAGCGAGAAGGAAGGTCCGACCATCGATATCGGTATCGGTCAACTCAAAATCCAAAGACACGATCTCTCGTATGTGCTGGAACTTGCTTTCAATCCTGGATCTGAGGTCTTCTGGAGATCCGCCTCAGCCATCCGGACAAAGCCAAGACAAGATCAATGGTTCTGACCTGCTCGCAAACCACTACATTCGTTGGCGAATGTTCCTTACTGAAATTCTCGCATATATTTCCAAAGACTCCCCAAGGAACGGGGGGGTGCAAATTCCGTCGAATTTTGACGGCGTGACAAAAGCGGTCAGTAACAGGCTCATTGGTCGATAGCGTTGAATCCGCTACATTTTCTATTTCGCGTTGACGACCAGGCGTTTTGCTAGCGTCAAATTGGTGGAGGTGGTGCCTTGCATTATCCCTGGTTCGAAACTTCGGCTGAGAGTGTTTTGGGCTGCTTGTCGGCGAGCCATGCAATCCATCCGTTGATCCGGGCGTTTCTAGACTTTGGCAACGCGGATGAGCCCTTCGAAAATGGTTCTATCAAACGTATCACCTCTAGGCCAGGAGCGCTTGAGGTTTTTGACTCCGTGATACCTGAACGCTAGAATTTCGCAATGTAATCCCCCGTCAAAACTGAAGCATAAAATTCGGGCGCCGCCTGACAGGGGGTTCTGTCTCTTCCATCCGTACTTTAGGACCGAGCCCTCCCAAAAACCCCATGATGTTGGTCTTCATTGGCTATCTTTGTGCGAGTTACGGCCAGGGTGTTTTGCGAAGAAGGTTCTCTTCTGGTTTCACTGTCGACCTTCGTTTACATTTCCTGCACAAACCGCTGTCCCACTATCTTTTCGGGGAGTATGAAGCTCGTCAAAGATTGCAATGGCGGCCCGTAGCGCAGCATTTTTTGTGAACGCGAATCGCCTGAACCGTGGCCGAAAAATCTGATTCGCGCGGTGCTTGTGTCTCAAAAACTTGCTTGCTTTCGTTTGTCCGGTAGGTAAGCGTCGACCATATTTAGTGTTGCCGTGGGAACGGCCAGTATAACACGATCATCTTCTCGGGGAAAGCAGACTTACAATCCAGCTTTGGATTTCCGAAAGCTGGGCCTTGTTAGTCGTGGTTCGGCTCGAATTGTGGTATTTGCATACCTTCTTTAAGTTCCTCGGCTTCAGGATGTTATGACAAAGCCGAAGCTAATTTTCTTCTGATAACAGTTGGTTGAGCGTCAGCCTGGTAATATCAAAGTAAACTGCGGTCACGAGCGCATGCCGAGCGATCTTTGTCATAGAATCAAGTGAGTTAATGTTGGCAAATGTATGGTTTTATCATTACTATCTCAGCGATCACACTAACACATTCATTATCGGTTGAGCCTATTACAGTAGGGTTCTCTGTAATGTTCCTGAGTTGGAGCCGAAGTCTTTCCTCGCGGAGCAAATAATCGTACTGCTCTGACACGCTGGCCAATTCGTACATGTCCCCGAAAAGATTTGCCCAAGGATTTCTTTTTGTATTCGACGTCAAGAACCATTCAAAGCAAAGTTCTGACAAATTCGACTTCGGGTAAAGGGCACTCGGCAGACCAATTCTGGCCGTGGAAACTAGTAAGAAACCCATGGTGACTACATCAGACGCTTGACGCCATCGTGCTAAATGAAGAAACTGACCTCCATCCCCGGCGATAAAAGCTCGTGGAACTTGCGTCGACAATCCTAGTTTGGGGACGGAATTAGGCGGGAAGTTGATGTACGGCAAAATGCCGAGCGCCGGTCAATGAACAAATTGAACAGCCCGTAATTGTGGAAATCAACTATTCACATTCTCCACGTTGCCGCGCGAAACCGACCACGTGTCCACAAGGGACAGGGACGATCACCAGCGAAAAGAAAAGCGGACTGAACCCTTCCTATCAAACTCTCAACGTAAGCTGGAGGATGAAAAACTTGGGAAACTTCACCCTTCGCAAGCGGAGCGTCACCGCCTGTCTTCCTTATAATCAACAGATGCTGCTTCGACCCTAGGGTCGTCCGTATGATTAGCTGTTCGAGGTCCTCATCCCTTAAGTTAATTGGTTTTGAGCGGGGCCAGAATAGGCCCGGCCGGTAACAATCGGTGCGGGTTGTTTTTCTGGTAAGCAAGTTTGGGCGAAGATCGAAAGGCCTGCTGCCACAACTTGGCTAACCAGCATTTCCGGAGTTTGGTTGCCGTCATTGGCACTGGAGTACGCGTCCTGAGCTTGTCAATAGCTCGACTGAATGTCGGCGGCCAGAATAGGCCCGGCGGTACAATCGGTGCCGGGTTGTTTTCTGGTAAGCAAGTTTGGCGAAGATCGAAAGGCCTGCTGCCACCAACTTGGCTAACCAGCATTTCGAGCAGTTTGGTTTGCCGATCATTGGCACTGAGTATCGCGTCCTGCAGCTTGTCAATGCCTCGACTGAACGTCTGCTCGACTGACCGAGACTGCTCGTCCAGTCGCTTTCGGAGGAACGACCTCGTTGGTGGGTCTGTTCCTTCACCACCATCCTCATCACATTCCTCTATTATCCCTTCATTGAGAACGCATGTGTTTCTGTTTTGGGATCTCTAAACCACGGAGTTGACCGCCGAGATTAAGTTCTCTCTCTCGGCGAGTCGCGCTCGTGGACTCAGGTGTACCAACGCTAAGGGGATTCTGCGCCTGGGCACACTCTGTCCTATGCTCTGACTCGGTAAATCGGCTGTCGACTTTCCCATAGCTGTTTTTTTTTTTACCGATCGTGTTTCAATTGGCATGAACTTCGTAGTTTAGCACTGGGTCCCACTGGGCGTGCCAAAATGTTGACCCTAGAAAAATTACAAAACCTACGTGGCGCGCGCAGGCCGAATATATTCTAAGCTAACTACGTCCTTCGGTGATTGCGGGGCGTGCCAACTCGTCGGCCGAGGCTCGGCCGAGGAGTAAATTTGTTGATGTTGCGTTGAGCGCGCTGCTGACTTCTGTGTCTTGCGATTGCGGCCGAGGAAGGAACAATTCTCGGCCTCTTGGGCTCTCGAGCCTGAAGACAAGGCTGCTAATTTGCGAAGTTCACGAACCGAATTCGGCTTACAATGTGCCGAATGTAATAACTGTAACACCCCACCTCGCCGAGAAGGCTAATGAGATGACCTCGACCAACAAGGATTCGAAAACCCTTCTCGACCGAGACTTGGATAGGCAGTCGACCGTTCTCGCCGCAGTGCTGTTGATGCCAACGGAAGATACTGCGAGACCGACCGACTCTACGGTGACAGAGCTATCTATGCCGACTTAAGATATCACCGGTTGCTTCCACAGTGCTGTTGATGCCAACGGAAGATGTGTCAGCGAAAAAGGAAAAGAAAAAGATCTCAAGTTGTGAGAGTTTGCGCAGGGCAATTTTGTATTGATTTTTGTGGGGCTTTTCCATTGCTGAATGTCTTGTATTTATAGAAGCAGAACACCGAGCCCGAGTTCTAATCCTATTCGAACTAGGTTTCCTTCTCCGGATTAACGTTACCTCAATCAGTCCTACCTCTGCTAGGACTACGAATCTAGTCCTTAACTGAGCCGGATTCGCCTTCTAGTTTTACTGATCGTCGAGGGTCCCTATTGTATTAGGACTCGACTTGCACTCTGATTTAACCGATCTAGGCCTAGAAGCCCATGAGCTGAAGCCCCCATGACTTTCTCGCCGTAGTCTTCCCGGGCCGAAAGTGATACCTCCCTCGGCCCAAACTGCTATTTTGGGCCCAAACACATGTGCATGAGAAATAAGCAGAGTCACATCTTTGCATGAGAACATCAGTCAAAAGAGCCACATTCTTAATGATAAGATATGCAAAGTAAAGTACAAGATGGAACAAGGTCTTTTATAAATGCCTTACCTTGGATCATGAAGACTTTTTCCCAGTCCACTTCCCAGGACAGGTTCCCTTTCTGTTACTTCTTTGTCAGACAGCCGTGAATTGCGAACCAGTTTGGCCCTGTTTGGTACACCATCAGACTTGAGGTCCTCTCTGTTGATGATTACAAAGGAAGGGACACTGCTATTTAGCATCATCAATAGCTTTATAGTATTTTCTACGAACTAAAATGACATCATTTATTGTTTGAGTGATTCAAATTAATACGATATCAGTGTAAAAAGTTTACAAATCTATGTATTCAAAACAAAAAGATTACTGGAATATTGTGCCTAGAGTCGTCAGCTGATAATACTAAATTTATACAATACCTTCACGATATTACATGTTTGGCTTTTGTTTCTTTATCAACTAACAGGGGAGTATCAGGCAATTTACTTCCAATTTGTGCACCATGAGCATTAGTAACCACCCTGTTGAAGATTATCCAAAACAGCTTATAACTTAAATGCCTAATATTCAATTTGTTAAGGGAAAAGTATCACTGTATCACTCACCTTTCCTCAATTGCAGGACGTAGACGCATGGTATCAATCCCGTTGAAACCAGATGAGAGAGATTTTGCTCCTATTAATGATGGCTGACACATTTGAGATCCAACTTCCTCCAATCTCTTAGAAATCTTTGAGTGGAATTCTCCACTTTTGCTTTCATTTGCCAGCGTAACTTTATCAACTGCAGATTCACTGCATCAAAAGACGGAAAATGTAAATGACGCGTTGATACTAATGCTCACATGTTTGCTCCCTATCAGATCTATCTGCTCCAAGAGGATACCCGTTATACATACAGATTAGAGTCTGTTAGTTATAAGCAATTTTTTTTCTTCTTCCGATTACATTATCGTAAGCATTTGCATGTATCAACTCAAAAATTAAATGGTTCTATGCATTCCTCATTGTTTCAGTAACAGATGCACCTGAGTTTCTGGTTATTGTTAGTTTCTGTATTCAAAACCATTATGACTCATGACAGTTTCTACTTCTTATAGTTCCAAACATATGTCAGTGACTTGAAGGATGGAATCAATGAAACAAAGGTGGCAGCTATCAATATGCTCAGAGATTTTCTGACCTGCTCTCTGCAGACAAAGGAAGCTTTGAAGTCAAATTTTGGTCGTCCTTGATACCTTTGATGTTAAGCAGCGTCTTCCTTGAGACGAATGTATTGGAATTGTCTTCAAGATCTAAATCATCTATAGCTGATTCAGTGTTTTCAGTCGAGATATCACTGCCTAACTTTGGTTCAGTGTTTTGTGTAGATATATCACTGCCTGACTTACACCCATCACCATTCTTGCTATCTGAACTATCAACGTTTACTGGTGATGAATCCCTCAAGGGCAAGTCTTCACTATTAGGACCGTCTCCTGCTGACATTTTCTCATCAATATCTTCTTTTCCACTTGAAGTGGTATTAAAATCTGTCTGAAGACAACCATCATTCTCTCCTTCAAAAACGGTACCTCCATTTGAATCAACTCCTCCTACAAGTTGACCAGACAAGTCATCTGTTGCCGGCTTAGCATATGGTTCTGTGGCCGACTCCTTCTCAGATAAATGACTTCGCTGATCTGATTCTTCAACACTCTTAGTCATTACTTTTACTGGAGACCTTGGACCATGTGGAGGTTCCAGATTTTCTGATCTAGATTTTGATGGGCAATTATCATTGATAGAATTAACCTTTCGTAAAACAACTAACGAAGTATCAATCTTTGAAGGGTCCACTCTCTCAGAACCACCATCAAGTGTACCAATATCTTCAGCCAGGTCAATTTTAGAGCCTTGAGGTCCTCTTCTATCAGAAAGAACCTCTTTTCTGCTATCTTGATTCTTATTTGAACTCCTTTCACTTTTCTTTAAGCTTGGATCAAGATCAAAATCATCCAACCCACTTCCAAGAAAGAAAGTGTCAGGTACAAGTACACTTACATCGCTTACGTAATTCAAATAAGGAAACGAAAAGAAAATACAGAGCTTACTAATTGAAATTAAAAGAGAATTTAAAGGGTCTTGTTTCCCCTGACGGTTTCCTTTGGAAGATTCTTCTTCAGATCTCTCCTTGGTTTTTGCAGCTTTTCTGGGCGGGCTTGAGAAATCAAGGTCTGGCATGTCCATTTTGAAATACGATATCTTGCCAAAGTCACCATCCAGATTGAAATCCATATCCTTGAACAGAAAAGACAAAAGGATTCTTATAAGAGTTGTCTGGGATTTCTAGACTCAAACTAGCATACTTGAATCCCAAATTCTATCCTCCTTTCAAAACAATTTGCCACATATTGCCGCGAGTACCAGATACACCAACTAAACGCATAATGGTAGACAATTTACCCATGATACCATACAGAAGTGAATCTACAGAATGGAGTTCAAACAGCGAGCTACAAGATGAACAGAATGGAGTTCAAAATCTACAACCTACCAGAAGCTCAACATTAGGCTCAGCAAACAAACAAAATCGATTCCATTCTACTTACATAAAATTTTCCGGAAAAATAAGCAAAATTTCCCGGAAAATAAAGAAACGCGCGAAACGACATCAACTAGTTCAAAAATTCAAACGGATTTTCTCGGTCCAGAAAGCATTGTACTGCTCACGAATCCGAAACTTCCTAGTACGAAAAAGAAACTCACCAATTTCAGAGCCGAAACTTGAGAGATAGAGACTCGCACATTTGGTCAGATATCATTTTACCAAGCAATGAGCTCTCTAACTCACAACTCGCACCTCCACAATCTCCATCTCTCAATTTTCGGCTCTGAAATCGGTGAGTTTCTCAATCCCTAATCGTTTCGTACTACGTAAAGTTTCGGATTCGTGAGCAGTACAATGCTTTCTGGACCGAGAAAATTCATTTGAATTTTTGAACTAGTTGACGTCGTTTCGTGCATTTCTTGATCGATTCCGTGTATTTTCCTTGGGAAAGCTGCTTAATTTCCTGTGAATTTGAATGCAAGTAGCCAACAGTGGTTTTGGTCCAATTAAATTTGCAATTACACTAATCCTGGATTAGTGTAATTGCAAATTGATTAGGCTTGAGCGTAATAGGCCAACAGTGGTTTAATTTTCCAAATGTGGATTTTGGCCCAATAAAAAAGGCCCACAGTAATAAGAGTGATTGGGTTTTTTGTTTTCCTTCTAATTTTACTTTAGAAAATAAGGGTGGTTGAAAGTGTCACACTTAGTTTCGGTTCCTATCTTCGTGATTAATACAATGGTGGTTAGATGAATCTTTAACGTCTATGTGAGTCTTTACCAGTTCCCAAAAAGGTGAATATCGCGATTCTATTGTTTGAAAATGGCATTAAAGCGACTGAAAGCATTTTTGCTAAAAATATTTTTGAAATCAATCCTTACTAAAAATTCAAATGGATTCTAGAAAAACACTTGAAGTGCTTCATGCAATTCTTTCAAAAAGCACATGCAGTGATTTTGAAACCCAAAATCAATCCCATCAAAAACATTTTCAATAATTTTAAAAGCAAATCCAACGAGTCATAAGTCTAACCAATTGTCCATACAAAAGTTCTGAATAACCCTTGAATTAAACGACAGTCTGAATAAAGCACTCTACTTTCTTTTTCTTTCTTTTTCTTGTTTGTTGGTATACGACAACACAAAGAGTCCCGAACTAAACGTACAACTGAAAATCTATCCACATACCCTCAGCCTCACAAACCTATAGGAAGTCGGAAACCATGCCTACCTCAGAAGCTCAAGAATTATACTTACACTCGAATACAGAGTTGTAGTCCCACTCCCTATTCCCTAAACACTTCTTCCATGGCGTCCGTACTCGGAAGTTGCTCGACAGCAGCAACTTTGGCCCCTCGACGTCTCTCATCTCGCACTTCCAGGACTTCAATTCCCTCTCTCTCTACATGCCCAGGTAATCATTCCCCACCAAACAGAAGAAAACCCACTTCTTCTTCCAGCATCTGAACCATGATTTGGGATTGTTTTCTGCAATTTGATTGAATATATGAAATACCCAGTTCGTAATTTGGTGTTTTGATGGGAGATTTGATGTGGGTTTTGGCTGGACAATAGTAGTGGATTGCTGTTAATTTGAATGGAATTGTGTTTTTGCATTGCAGGGAAGAGTTTTGGGAGCAAGTTTTATGGAGGGATTGGGATTCATGGAAAGAAAAGGTCTCAATTCCATGTGACCAATGTTGCTACTGAAATCAGCCCTTCTGAGCAGGTCTGAATTTTCTTCATCTAATTGCAGTATTTAACAACAAATTTTTTATTGGTTTTGATTGATAAGTTCTATTACTAATAGATGAGGTTTAATTTGAATTGGTGGTTCAGTTTTTCTGTAATGTTGGAGAAAGAAAGATTTTTGCACTCTTGATGTTTGTTGAACCGAAAATTTCGAGAATTAGTTTGTAGTTTATTATTGGGAATTATACATGTTATGTAAAGATTTGGGTTGTGGAATTCATGTGTGATTAATTGTATTCAGGCGCAGCGGGTTGCTGCTAAGGAAAACCAGAGGCCAGTATATCCATTTGCTGCTATTGTAGGACAAGACGAGATGAAACTGTGTCTTCTGCTGAATGTGATTGATCCCAAGATTGGTGGTGTCATGATCATGGGAGATAGGGGAACTGGAAAATCCACAACCGTTAGGTCTTTGGTCGATTTGCTTCCTGAAATTAAGGTAGTTTCTGGTGACCCTTATAACTCAGACCCAGAAGATCCGGAGTCCATGGGTGCGGAAGTTAGAGAGAGCATTGTGAAGGGGGAGCAGCTTCCTGTTATCAAGACTAAGATCAACATGGTTGATTTACCCTTGGGTGCTACAGAAGATAGAGTCTGCGGGACAATTGACATTGAGAAAGCGCTCACTGAGGGAGTCAAGGCATTTGAGCCTGGCCTTCTTGCAAAAGCTAATAGAGGAATTCTGTATGTGGACGAAGTTAATCTTTTGGATGATCATTTAGTGGATGTTTTACTGGATTCTGCTGCATCGGGATGGAACACGGTGGAGAGAGAGGGTATTTCAATTTCACATCCTGCCCGGTTTATTTTGATTGGCTCGGGCAATCCAGAAGAAGGAGAGCTCAGGCCACAGTTGCTTGACCGTTTTGGAATGCACGCACAAGTTGGGACTGTGAGGGATGCGGAGCTCAGAGTGAAGATTGTTGAGGAGAGAGCTCGGTTTGACAAAAACCCTAAAGAATTTCGGGTTTCTTACGAAGCTGAGCAAGAAAAGCTTCAGGAGCAAATCGGCTCAGCTAGAAGTTATCTTCCATCTGTTCAGATTGATCAGGACCTCAAGGTGAAAATCTCCAAGGTTTGCGCAGAGTTGAATGTCGATGGATTGAGAGGAGACATAGTGACTAACAGAGCTGCAAAAGCCTTGGCTGCTCTAAAGGGAAGCGATAAGGTGTCTCCAGAGGATATTGCCACTGTCATCCCTAACTGCTTAAGACATCGTCTTCGGAAGGATCCTTTAGAGTCGATTGACTCCGGTTTACTTGTCATGGAGAAGTTCTATGAGGTGTTTAGCTGAAGGAGATACTGAAAGGCCCCTTTCTTTTTTAATTTTGTTGGCAAGATTGTTTTTGTTTAAATTCTTTTCCGGGTTTTAACCCATCCCGCTTTTACACGAGCACATTTAGGTTTCACCGTCATTATGTTCCGACTACTGTGTTATATTATGGTTATTTTTCAAGAAGCATGAAGCTCAGTTGAACTATCTGTATATGGATCCAATTTTTTGCCTATGGTTTCTCCTAAAGTATTTATCGTTGCACGTTGACCTTTTGGTTCATAAACTTGGTTATTATAATCGGCTTTGTACCTTGTATAAGGCGAATTTTCATGCAACGGGATGCTATTATGGTGGGATGTCAAACCAATCATGCAATGTCTTTGCCCTTCAACATTTTCACACAGCATTGCGTGATTGGAGGAATGATGATCTTTTCCAATACAAATGGACAGCAAAGTAAATATTATTGCAGGAATGATGATCGTTTCCAATACAAATCGATACAATTCGTTGAAAATAATTTACGGGATTGTCGTATTTCTATCTACAACTCTAGGAACCTTAAAACGGGGATTCTGCTCCACAAAATCTGGTGGCCGTTTGTATACAATTGATGCGGCCCTAATCAAGATACCAGCAGTTAAACCCCAGATCATGTACTTCTTGTTCTTGGTTTCGTAGTCGAAGAAATGGATCAGAAACTTGTCTCCCATCCACTCTCTCTCCTCTGACGTCCGGTTTTCATCCTGAAGCAAATGCATACACAACGATCTTCAAGAGAATCAAAAGATAACTATATAATTTGTAATCGGAGTATGAAACTAAAACGAGAGAAACCTTGAGGAACATTTCCAGGGGAGCATCGAATATCGCTTCCACTTCAGCAGGATTTGGATCAGGCTTGAATGCTTCCTTCTCGTTAAGTATGCCAATAACCGGAACAACTCTTAGTAGGTGCTGTGCACAGAAACCCAATGGTTAGCGAAATCAAGTTCCTCATCCAAAATAGTCTTTCAAGTTACAAGTCCAACACCGAAATCTGCATTGTGTACATCGACCCTAACCACTATGTACCCTATTTTTGAAGTCAACAAAAGCACTTACTCAACCAATCAGACTACTACACTGCTCTTCCCCAAGACCAACTTCCGAAATTTTGGAACGCCTTATGTGAAAACTCAGGATTCAGATACACGCGATTAAGATTCGTAAATATTAAGGACATGTACTCAACAGAACAACACAAAGCACGAATGAATACAAACTAAATGGCCGTGTCAGCCAGACACTTCTTAAGAACACCTCCAATCTACCAATATGATTACTCATTTTTCCGGAAACTGATACTCTAAGCCGTAAACTCAAACTCATTTTGCAAACACAAAGTATAAGATAACTCGATCGTTAAAACTCAAAGTTTTCCCTTCATTCGTTAAAACTCAAACCGTTTGTACACAAAGTATAAGATAACTCGATGGTTAAAACTCAAAGTTTTCAAGCCATTTTCATTAGTTTTCTTTCTTTCTAGTCTCAAATCAAGTTCCCAACTTTCACCTTCCAATGCCGAGAAACTAAAGCATAAATTCGCAACTTCACAAACATAATTCAACTAACCAAGTTCTGTGTCCACTCAATTGCACACATTTGAGCTCAATGAAACCAAAATTTAGAACAAATCATGATCGAACTTTATACCTTTGATAGGAATGGTTCAAGAACAGTGACAACATTGACAAGCTTAGGATCCAAACCAATCTCTTCTTTCGCCTCCCTCGTCGCCGTGTCCCCGTCATCCTTATCCCCCTCCTCTGTTTTCCCACCCGGCAATGCAACTTCACCTGCAAAAACACACAACCAAAAATAAAATATGAAAAACCAATCTTTCACATTGTCTTTCAATTTTCTCGGGAAACAAGCAAAGGTAACGAAAAATGCACAAACCGGAGTGAGTGGACAGCTTCGATGACCGCTTAGTGAGAATGACGCGGAGATCGCCGGCGTCCCCTTCAAAGAGGCAGACCAAGACGGCGGCTCTCTTGGGTCTGAACTTTTCTGGGTCCCGCGCAACTGGGGTGTCGGATTCAGCAAACCCCACCTGGGACACGACCTTGCCGGCGGTTTCCTCGATTCTCTGCTCCTCAATGTCGTCGGAGGAGGGCAAAGGCGGCGGCTTGTAGAGGCGGAGCTGCTGGGCCAAGGCGATGAGTCTCTGTGAGCCTCCGCATGAATTTGGCGGCTCCATGAGTAGCGGAGGCGGTGGTGATAGCCTTCTGAGGATTGAGATCATGGGCTGCTCTTCTGCATATTAATTAGGGAGAGTTTGGATTCGTTCTTAGTCCTGGTTGGATTTTAATTTTTTGAACGAGATTTTTGAAATTAATGTAGTAATTTATTTCTATGGGCGTTACTATATTTTTTAAATTAAAAATTAGAAATTTTAATTGTTTATATAAATGAGATTTTAAATAAAAAATCATAATTTGTGAGATTAAAAAATATTAAAATATAAATATACTATTGTGTGTGTATATATATAAACATGGGTACATTCATCAAAATTAACCAAAAAATTTATTGTTTCGAAATATGGGTACATTCTTCAAAATCACAAAAAAAAATAAAAAATATTAGGCTTAATAACATTAGTAAATTTCTTCGATTAAACTTGACATAGATACATTTTAAAATCAAAGAAAAAAGAATGTACCCATAAAAGTTTTAAAATGGATTAGAAAAAATTTGAATAAATTTTATATATATAAAAAGGGTACATTTTACATATAACAAATTGGTATATTTAAGAATGAGTACATTTTAAGATTAAAAAGTTTTACATGAATGGGTACATATAATTAGCATGGGTACATTTAGTAAAATAAAAAGTACAAATAAAAAATATATATGGGTACAAATACAAATAAACTTTAAAAAATATGGGCACAAAAAGAAATTAATATATGGGTACAAATTAAAATTAAAAAGAAAATTGGTACAAGTTAAAAAATAATTACAAATTAAAAATGGGTACAAAGTTACAAACTAAAAGTAAAAATATATGATAAAAAAATTTAGTCATAAATATAAATATACTAATTGTAACATTTTTAACATTAAATGAATATATTTAGAAATAAAAAAAAATTATTATTGAAATAATTAATGATGTTATTAATGCCCAATGACTTTGATAAAAATTTAAAAAAAAATAAATTTTAATCAATAGAGTAATAAAAGAATTTAATTTATCCTATTAATTATTAATAGGAGAAGTAGACGACTAGTAATTGCCGCGGCGGGATTTTGTTGCCTCGCAGTCAGCATAGGCTAATGGAGATGGTCCCAAAGTTCTCATTTGAGCTGAGCTAGGCCGGTTGACAATTTCACTCTCCCTTAACTTACAATATAATTTTCTTTTTTAATTCAAGTTACTTTAATTTACATTACAAAAAGGATAGTTTAATCTTAACCCAAAAAAAAAAAAAAAAAAAAAAAAACTTCCACCCCTTGTTATAATAATTCAATTTAGGGTCCTTGTTTCCATAAAATAAAAAAAAAATCAATTTAGGGTCCCTTAATTTATAGTATCATCTTCAAAAGAATTATATTGTATTTTGGAGAGCGATGTTAAAAGCACCTCTAACACGACTGGCTAGCATGATAGTTAAACCGTTGGAGCTTTAATTTTCTGAGTTCTCCGTTAAAATAACAATAAAAAGCTCATTTAACTAGCCAGTGTAATATTAGAAACGAACTAAACTGAAATTATTTGTTGTTGGCTGCCTAAATCATACAAGCCACCCCAACCTCCACCCTCCACAAAATATTATTTATATTTAAATACTAACTTAATAAACCATTGGAATTATGGTCTCTTAAAATTTCTCAAAAGATAAATGATCAAACCAAATGGATCATCAAATGAATTGGTCTGTTTCGTTAAATATAATTATTTATTCGTTTGATAATTATTTTGTTTCTAGTTTCTAATTTTTAGTTTTTCCAACATTAAAAACTGAAATTTATTTGGTTAGTTTAAGAAAAACAATAACTCATGATTAAAATTTTAAAATTCAAGTGAATATTTTTAATTTTTAATTAAACATTGAATGTCACATTCCGACCTGGGCTCCACCACATTCTGGGCTCGACTCCGCCGCAGCACGATATTATCCGTTTTGGGCACCGACCATGCCCTAACGGTTTGTTTTTGGAAACTCACGTGAGTAGAACTTCTCAATGGGTCACCCATGCTGGGAATGCTCTGGCCCCTTTCTCACTTAACTTCGGAGTTCCTACGGAACCTGAAGTCAGTGAACTCCCAAAAAGCCTCGTGCTAATTGAAGGTGGGTATGTACATATAAGGCATAGATGATCCACTCCACTGGGCGATGTGGGATCTAACAATCCACCCCCCTTAGGGGCCTGAAGTCCTCGTCGGCACACTTCCGGTCAGGGATTGATTATGATACCAAATTGTTACATCCCAACCTAGGCTCCACCACATCCTGGGCTCGACTCCGCCGTAGCACAATATTGTCCTCTTTGGGCCCCGACCACGCCCTCACGGTTTTGTTTTTGGGAACTCACTTGAGCCGAACTTCCCAGTGGGTCATCCATCATGGGAATGTTCTGGCCCTTTTCTCGCTTAACTTCGAAGTTCCTACGGAACCTGAAGCCAGTGAGCTCCTAAAAAGCCTCGTGCTAATTGGAGGTGGGTATGTACATATAATGCATAGAGCATCTACTCTCCTGGACGATGTGGGATCTAACATTGAAAGTAGTCACTAAATAAAATTTTAGTTTTCAAAAAAATAAAAATAAAAAATAGAACGAAATAATTATCAACGCTCCCTTAATTACTTGTATGGATCAAAATCGTAAATTCTTAACGCTACATAGGTTCAATGTGCGGTTTGGGGCCCAAATCGAATCGGCCGCCCACTAACTAGCAGACCGAGCCCTAGTGCTTAAAATAATGGTTGAGAGCAGTAATACGAAGTGTGCTCCTCCCACATGCCATATACCGTCCAAAGTTGCAGCAGCAAGACAATAGTACCATTGTACCCAACTTCTTTTTCTTTAGTCCTCTCCTCTGTTGCAACTCAGCTGCTCGTGCTGTCCTTCGGTACAAACTTCTTCGGTGCAAACATTTGTACTCCTCGATCGCAAGAGCTCAACTTGGAACAGGTGGTCTTATACAAAACAAGCACTATACCTTCCAAACTTCTGTCGATATGCTAATATGGTGCAATATATTGATCTTAGTAGTTAGGGTTCACATCTTCTGGCGACTCACACTCTTGTATTGCACAGATACTGTCATGAACTTCACTACTTAGGTTTTGTAGATGATGTGATTAGGTAAATAATGGATGTGAAATTTTATCGCAAAAGACCTCATCTCAAGGAGAACTAGCAACCATTTGCATACTTTTTATGTATAATGATCTCTTCTCCGACGTGAGATAATTTGTACTTGATCGATATTTCCTAACTCTAATCTAGAGTTTAAAGGGTCCCATCGAAAAGGTGTTGTGTCTAGTTGACTAGCTTTTGAGGGTAATAGTTGCTTGTTTAATATGCAAATGAGACATGAACTCCTCCCAAGAAGCAACCAGACCAAACCAACACATATGATTGACAGTCACTGTCCCTTCCGTTTGTGGAATCTTTACTATATCTTGTCTATCTTTACCACTGTAGGGTTTTACTTGTGACCAGCTTTCTGAAAATCCACCAAGAAAAAAACAGTGACTCGAAGTCGATAGTGGCAGCAGAAAAGGGTTAATTAATTAAGAGGTGTGACATTTGCATCAAGTCAGAGAGTAACTAGAACTAGGGTTGGCGCCAATATTCCTGTTTCATAGAAGAGTTTGGAGCTGAACAAGAAAGAAGCAATTAGAAACCCTACTTGTCTGCATTAATGCTATGCTTAGCTTTTAGTAGGTGATCTTTATGACCTCTTTTGCTTCCTCAGACTGTGTCATCCCATCTCTATCAAACGCATCTCTCATTTCCTAAATTTTGGAGTACATGGATATTAATATACTGTATGTTGTGTGATGAGTTTAACGGCTGGATGTGTGTTGAAGATTCCGAGAAATCTCAACGGATGAACCTGAGCCACTTAAAAGACTCTGCATAATGTACATTGATGTAGAGTAGGACTCTTCATGCCTATAGTGATGGACTATTTGCACTAGTGTCTTCCTTAAGAGAGAGAGAGAGAGAGAGAGAGAGAGAGAATGTTACGACAAAGAGAATCAAAGAATAAGGAAGAACAGAATGAAGATTATCAGCATGTTCACTACTTGCTGCCTACTTCAAAATCGGCATTCAAGCAACCGCCGGTTGACAATGCGAGATATGAACATATTGTGAAAGTTCACGGAGGCCACATTGTCCGATCCCTGGCAAGAAAAGACCGGCACAGCAAGGTGTACACTTCGAAAGGTCCGAGAGACCGGAGGTTCCGGCTGTCAGCTCATACTGCTATACAGTTCTATGATGTCCAAGACCGCCTTGGCTACGACCGTCCGGGTAAGGCCATTGATTGGCTCATTAAGAAGTCCAAAGCAGCCATTGAAGCACTCTCTAAGTCTGAACAACCTTGCCAAGAGTACAATGATTGCACTAATACGAATGTTTTTGGTCAGCAGACTGAGCAAGAAATTGGAGAACAAAGTATGCATCAGTTTTGGAATCACCCGGAAAGCAATGGGGAACTGGAAACAATGAGCAATGTTAGTCCCATGAACAATGTCAACAATCTGAAAGAACCGGTTTTCGATCCTCACCAGTTAAGTTCATTGAACTATGCCGAAGAAGCCCTCGATTCTGCATCAAGTCTATCGGATTCCAAATTCAAGGAGATGGGATGGTTTCAAAGTTTGGTGGCTTGGAATTATAATGCAAGTGATGGAGGAGAAATCTGTCCTTACAATTCATCGCATGTATCTCTGCATTAGCCATATATCTTGTCACAATTTTTATTTGCTTCATGTCTTTTGAATTGTGTTTTTAGCTCGTGTTAAAAAAAAAAATTATTTCCATTGAAATTCTAGTCTAATCTAAATCGGATTGAGTTACATTTTTTTTTTTGGTGTCTTCTTCTTTTTATTTTCATTGAAAGTTTTGTCTAATCTAAACTACGAGAAGCGGAATTCGAAGTTGGGGCAGAGGGATAGAGCACACATCTAGATAAGAGAACAACCAGGAGTAACTTCTAATTACAGTGTGAAAAAGCACAGAATAATCCACTCCAACAAATATTTTGTGTATTTACAATATAAATACAATAATCTTTTTTCCTTTCACAATATACATTAATAAGAAGAAAGAGGGGAAAAAAGAATCATAGAAGGATGGTTCAGTCCTAAATCCAGGTCCTGCTCGATAACCCGCTACTGCACGCGCAAGCACATTACTTCCACACCACTACATGTACATGAATAAGAAACGACGCGTATTTAAACAAATGGCTCTTCCCTCATTTGTCTGCTGTTTGAGTCGATAAGATACTGAAGACATTCTTATTTAGTTTCTTTTCTACCATTGGATCGGAACCAACAAAGTCAATGTTCATTTCTGAGTGTTTTTTTCTTCAGTTTTAATGCTCTCAGCAGTTGCCGCTGATTTTTCTTCGACAGCTGAGTAAGACAATCTCCGAGCCTTTGTAGTTGGCTTCCCATTTGATGAAGGAGGTTTAACTACAACCGAAGCTTTTGGCGTTGGTGAATTTATGTTCTTACCAACTGGGCTTGTTTGCTTACTCTGCACTTTCCTTGGACTAGGTGACTGCACACGGCTTTCCCAAGGGCGAGCAGCAATCCAGCGCTCCTTCCAGCTCCATCCCCAATTAGCTTTACCGAGTTCATAATTACCCAAGCTTTGGCTTTGACTACAGTTGGCCCTCCACTACAAATCATGGAATATGTTTTCAATTTCAATTGATTCAAGGTCAAATTTACGGGTTCTACTTCCATGCTACGTAGAATTAAATGCTACGAGAACAAATAAAGTACAAATGTGAGAAAATAGTCTACCTGATGAGAAAATGCATATGCCATAGCCCGCTCACGCTTAACTGCTGCTTCTTCTCTTTGATATATCCTTGCAAGAATTTCATCCATTGTTTCAGAACCACCACACCACTCCGCCTGTCACCGAGTAAGAAAATTAATCAATGTTATTATGAAAACAAGCATGTGTAGTCACGAGGGTCCAAGGCTGATGAGGTGATGATTCTGTAGCACGAGCGCACCAAAATTGTAAAGAAACTTGCAGAATCCTATATAAATAAGTTTTAAGTCTGGCAAGCTCACAGATGTGGTAGCTGCTGGTCTCACCTCTATGTCATGAAGTTTTGCCTCAAGTTTTTGTTGACTCTCTATTTTCTTCTGCTTGATCCGTCCTTCTGTTACCATACAGAGTCGGCGGGCTTTAACCTCAGCCTGTATTTTGCTCCATGAATGAAGATAGCTCAATGTAGTTGTAGTTTGTTTTGCAACAGGATAAGCTTGGGTCATTATTTGCAATCTTACAATCCCTTTCAAACTCCGTAAAGATTTTCTAGCCTGCAATGGGTGAAAGAAAATCTTAGGAACACCAAAACCAGCGTAACAAGACGTGCTCCTTCATGCATAAATGTCTACAATGCTCCTCATCTATCACGAAACGGCAAGTATATTTAGAACAGTTTGAGTTTTCATTTGAATCAGAAAAGGAAAAAGCTGCTATGTAATAACGTCATTCAACTTTATTACCAAATCCTCATTGCTCATCAAGATTCAAACTAAACATCATTCACTGAATAAGAAGAATGCAAAACCAGAGATGTAAAACAAAATTCCACAGGATCACCGGGTAAAGAACGCAAACAGCGTTGAAATTTTATATTTTGGAGACTTTAGTGCACACATACATACCACATATGCACGGAAAGCAGTCTGAATCCGAATTGCAGCTATATCCTCAATTGGCAATCCAAGATTTTTACCATTCGCAAAAGTAGACTTTTTCAATTTTATGGAGTTTGATTTTCCATGAGCTGAAGATACCTGTCAGAAAATGTAATGAGGGGTGAGGAATGACAATTTCATACCAATATCAGTCTTGGAATGTTACATACAAATAACTCGCCTTTAGTACTAGTAGCAACCTACCGTTAAATCATAAACCACGCATTCACTAACATGACTAGGTTTGGTGTAAAAATCTCTGTTCATGAAGTAAAATGGTAATGTAACTCATGTATGTTACGACTGCAGCATGGATTTGTGATGCCTTCCAGTATTTATAAGATAAGCTAATTGCAGGATAGCTACGGCATAAATTAGAATTCTAAACCTCCATACACCTCATTTAAGATTTCCAAATTCCTAACCCGATTTCCTAACTTGATTTCAATTGCTGGTCACTTCACTGCTTCAAATTCATTTCGTTAACAAAAGCTAAACAATGTAAAACAATTTGGAGGCTCTATACCTTCAACTGTTTTGAACTGTCGTCCTTTGATTTCTTTGTGCCGAAACATACCTTAAACCAACACCCGGAACCCATACCTGATGGTGAAACTCTGTATCCAATTTAACATAATCCTGCCAGTTAAATAAAATCACCATCAACATTAAGCAACGAACAAGGAATTAACTTTTAAGCATTCAAAAATGGCTCTCTGTTTTTTCCTTCTGAAATCAATCCAACAGTTAAAGATTAAGCTACATTATCCAGTAACACACAGATAAAAATCACAATAAGCTAACTGTTGACCAAACTATATAATCCTCACAGTACAGCCTATTCAGCCTCATTTATTCTTCTGCACTCTGCTTCGTCCCTCGGTTCTCCTTCGATGTTTATTCAATCCGAAGGCTAGAACAAGAGGGAGGAGTGCAAGACGAGAAAAAGGAAGTGCGAAAATCACTTCTTCGAAGAAAACCAGTTGAAGTCAAACATTGTAAACTGACTTCCATACCAATCTGCATTCTATAAAAAAACCCTTGTGCATTTAGCAACCAGATCCCACCCATATCTCCCAAATGCACAAAAGGGTTATCTCCAAATCATGTTGTCAACTCAAAAACTAAGACAAACAATGAAAAACCAAAGAAGACAGCATATGGGTAAGTCTCACATACCAGAGAAGCAGCTTGAAAACTCCAAGAAATCAGTTTTGTTTTGAGAAATGGTTGCTCAAGATTTTGGAGGAAAAAGTCCGTGTGGGGGCAGCAGTTGTAAAGGCAGCAGAAAGGAAGAAGCAAAACCCCTGAGAAAGGTGGGGGAGATAGAGAGAGAGAGAATAAAAGGTGGGTGTGGTGGAATGTAGATTGCCATGGCCCCATCACCACCCTTTTTTCTCACCAAAAAACAAAACTTATAATTTAAAAATTAAATTAAAAATCTTGCAAAATACAAAATTACAAATCTTTTTCATATAATATCAAAATTGAATCTATTATTTTTGCCTTACTTTATTTTCTCACACCTCAATCACAGCACAGGCTCAACCAACGCTAATACAACTCAACGTGTGGGGGTGGTGGTGGTTTGGAGGATTGAGACTTCAACAAAAGCAGGCTACAGCGATTGCAGAACAAACCAACATTGGCAATTTGGCATTATCTGATCGAGATGTGCTGCCTTTTCTGTTGATCTGAAATTCGTCATCAAGCTTCAATCTTTACTAAAATAAGATACCAAATAATAATAATACTCCAAAATATCCAACGCATATTATATAATACACGTTGGTTAGGAAGTCAAGTTGGTTGTAGCTTCAATCTTAAAAAGTGTATATTGGTGATTTGGTGAATATATTGCAAAGAAGTCAAATGAGCATTCGTCCATGCACTTGAGATCCTGTGTTCGAATCTCTCTTCTCTTACTTTAGATGAATTTAATGTAGATTTTTCTAGAATGCTGCTATTCACACACCCAATTTTGTTTTTAATTCATTTGATCCGACGACCAAAAATTTAGAGAGATGTGTAAAAAGTAACATGCGTGTGTTGGTAGCACTACCCTTCTTCTATTGCTTGTAAAAAAAATAAAAAATAAAAAATTTACCTATTGAGGTTGTGGTGAATTTCTCATGGATTTCCAACTAAAGCTGGAGATTGGATGTGAAGTTGGAAAGTTTGGTAGGAGATGTGAACTTTTTTTTTCCCGGTGATTTCAGTAAGGTTGGAGAGAAACAAATGTAGATCCACATGCTTCTACAACCCCTTTTGTGGCTTAGCACTCTTCTAGTGTGTTAAACAAGTTTATGATCAAACTATAACTGAATTCATTTATCTTTTTATCGACAACAATTGTGTATAAAATTTGAATTTAGGATCTCTTTGTTTCAAATAAAGACTGAAAAAAGCTTAGACCAAATGGTCGTTTGCAATTACATACAACTATTAATCATCGTCAACCTCTTCTTAAAACTACAAAATGTTGATTGATTTAATCTTAATTAAACTTTTTTGTGAACTTAAATAAATTACCTTTCAAAAACATGAGATTGAAATTGAAGTATTTGAATTCCAAATCCTTTTAAAGTTTTACTCCAAATCACAAGCAAATGTACCCAAGCGATTAAAAAAATAATTAGGCAATAATGCTTGCTGTTGGGCTTTTGGCCTCTCTGCGTTTGTTGCTTTTTAAGTTTAGGCCTCTCTGTGTTTGTTGGTATCCTTCAATTTGTTGTTTTTGAATTTAATGAGTATTAGTTTAGCTGCATTCACCATTTTATAAACAACAATAATTAAGGTTTATTTCATTAAGTGAAGTCGGACGTATGAATTTTGGATCACAACTGCTAAACAAGCTCTAAAGCACTCATCTAACTATTTATCATCTCGAATATTAAGAAGTCTCAAAACAATTCTCATGACCAAACAACAGCTTGAATCCTTTTGTGTCATATATGAAGCGGTGATTAGTCTGTTGGAACGCTCCGATTGAGGTCATACCATGAGGATTATCGTCAGGAATCATTGCAAAGCAAAACTCGATGTTTCCAGCTTCATTCTTCACCATATAGAAAGCATTCAACGCATCCAAATTCAGATCGGCATTGTTGTCGAAATGGAAGGTGATCCATGGAAACCCCGTAAAAGCTTGCCGGTTCGCCACCTCGTGGCACGGCTCCAAAGGCTTAAAATCGCTAGGGATCCTCCTCACGGTCGCTTCACCCATCACCGAGAACGCTGCTTCTAAACCTGCTACTAATACATCGTAAGCAGGCCTTATAAGGATCGTGAACGGCGCGCCTGAGTGAATCATAGTTCTCCCTGTTCCGTCGGGTCGAACCATGAAAACCTCCGGCGGAATGTTAAGCCTTCCCCCCATGATGCTAATTGCTAGTAAGTTCAGGTAGTATATTGGGGCGTTGTTGAATCTCCCAAGGCGGTCACACTTAGGTCGGGTTTTTCCTCTATGTCTCCACTGCACCAAATTTTAGGAACGAACTGGTGGGGCCTGCTTGTTGTTCGCGTCTCAGGCTGTACGAGAACCGAACGTCGCCTTGGCTGGGGGAGCCTGGGCTGCAAACGAGCGCGGACCAAAACCAATGAAAATGAAAAATAACTTTAAAATAATTTGAAAACTTCGAGTTTTAATGGTAAGAACAAAATAAATGGTAAAATGAATAGTAACATGATTGATTTTTTACTGTAAAAATGTGGTTTTTCATTAAAGTAAACAGTACTATGAGCTTTTCGTTAAAGTTCCTAAAAAAAATTGAGGAAAAACATTTAATTTGTCAAAAAAAAAAAAAAAACAGAGGCTTATTGAATTGGGCCAGTCAATCTAGTTATTTTTTTTCTTTACCCAGTATTTATTTTGTTTTGATTGAAACCCTAATTTTTGCATTTATTTCTTTTTTAGTTGTATGATTATTACTTATTACCATTGGATAAGTATAATCACTACACAAGATTTTGTAATTTAAAAACATTCAACTGTGATGAATGGGGTAGAGCATCACCATCATTCATTTTCTCAATTATCAATTAAAGATTAGGTTTTTAATAAAGAAATCACTTGGGTATGTTATATATTGAGAGGTTACATATCTCCACATGATATATATGTGCGTGAGTTTACTGCTACTGCTAGGTCATGTATAATAGCGCTAAGCTATGCATGAAATAAAAGGGGGATATGATCACATTTATTTGCTTTCATTGTTTAAAATAGATAGCACATATATTGTCCGGCCGATTAAGAACTTGCAAAGCAATTCTCTGGACCAAAGTACAGTTTGAACTCTTTGGTGTCATATATGAAGCGGTAGTTTGTCTGTTGGAATGCTCCAATCGAGGTCGGCATAATAGGATTGCTTTCAGGAAGCATAGCCAAGCAGAACTTAAGATTTCCAGAAGCACCCGTCCCAGTAAGAAAAGCAGCCTCATGATCCACATGCATGTTAGCATTATTCTGGAGATTAAAAGTGATTATAGGGAAGCCCAAAAACGCTTCTGGCCTCAGCACCTCATAGCAAAGCTCAAAAGGTCCATACTCCCCAGCTGGGAGCCTTCGCAAAGTGCCTTCACCAGAAGCTGCAAAAACAGCTTCCAAAGCACTTACCAAAACATCGTGTGCATGTCTTGAGATTCGAGTGAATGTAGATCCTGAGTCGATCATGCTTCCTCCAGTCCCATCGTCTCGGATAGCAAACTCTTCCGGTGGTATGGGAAGCATGTGTCCATTCACACTTATACCTAGTAAATTTATGTAGTAGTATGCTATTGTGTTGAATCTCCTCAATCCTGTCACGCTTAGGTCAGGTCTTTGTTGTATGTCTGCTCCAAATTTTAGGTATGAGGTGATGGGCCCTACAATTCTTTCTCTTCTGAGGCAGTATGAGAAACGCCCGTTGCTTTGACCTAGAGGGTCTAATTGGCTGACAAACGTCCGGGGGCCAAATCCAAGACCTAGCACGCCGGATATCTGATTAGTATCGCCTGCGAAGGATACCTGAAATTAAGAATGAAAAATCAGTACCAATATCCAATTAATAAAAACAGGTTTAGGTTATAGATAAACACTCATCAATATAAATTAATTAAACAGTTTAGTTGACATTATGGTATAAGTCCAAATTTAATTACAAGCTATTATTTCCAAAAGAAGTAATCTTGTAACTAAAGCAATTTGGTCGTTCAGTACTGTCACATGACAAAAGAACTCATATAGCTTTTTTTGCAAACCAAACATAAGAAACTCGATCTTGGAGTAATTGTCTCTAAGAGGGAACAATTTGTCTATATTTTCTATATCTTTGTACAAATACCAAATAAATTGACCAAATTGTCAAGAGATTATGGACCAAATATACAATAAATTATTTATTGACAAGATACCAAAAGAATTTATCAATACCTGGTTGCTGTCAATGGCGCAACCAAAAACCAAACCTTGAATGGACTCCCTACCAGGGCCTGTGCTGCTGTCGAAACTGAAAGTTTCAGATGAAAGATAGCCAGCTACAAAGCTACGGTCAGCGTAGGTTCTCTCAAACGAACAGAAGTCTCCAATACAGAAGCCCTGACAAAGCGGGTGCGCATTACAAGGTAGATGCTGATAAGAAGTTGATCTGCTACTCGGAAATGGTTCATCTACCACCGCGAAACAGCGGTGCTGCTCACATTCTTCGCATTGCAGCCAAGTGAGATCGCTTGCAGTGTCCACTACAAGGTTGTACACTTTGAATTGCGGAGACGATGTTGGGATTGTGCCGATCCCAATTTTGACGCTGTAGAGAGCCACACCCATGTTAAGGTTCATGAGCATTCGGACAGTTTCAGGACTATACGAAAATGTTTGATTGTTTGCAGCTGCTAGGGTTGTCATGTTTTTAAGGTATTGAGCACGAGCGATGGACTGGTTAGTCAGGGCTTGGATTCTCTGTTTGTGGGTGAGGTTTGGTTGGTAGAATGGTGACTGTGGGTCGTTTCTATGGATGAGCTCAATGGTCAAGCCACCAGGTTTTGCAGTGATTATGTGACATTGTACTAGTAGTGCTAACAAGGATGATAGTAGGAACAGGAAAACAGGGGTCTTGGTTTCTGCCATGTACTAAAAGTATTAGAGAAAATGAGTCTGAAAGGATAGAGAGACTTACAAAGTATTGACGCCTTTTATAACGGAAGGTTGTTTGAATAGGCAGGAAATAATTAATTCACTCATTAAATTCAAGTTGTCTTTTACTTGATTTTTCTTTTATTACAAACTCCATCCTCATTAATTTCATCAGAGTATGCATTCATTTCCATTGGTTTGGGCTCACTTTCGATGATAATAATTGTTGTTATATATTTGTTTTTTTTTTAACCAGTGATATTATCTACATTAAGAAAAATGGATGGGTTTAGCATCACAATAAGGGAAGGTTGTTTGAATAGGCAGGAAATAATTAATTCACTAATTAAATTCAAGTTGTCTCTTACTTGATTTTTCCTTTATTACAAACTCCATCCTCATTAATTTCATCAGAGTATGCATTCATTAGTTACCGTGGAAGGAATCGAACTCTTGACCTTGCTTAATTCTGACTAATTTTTTACTGTATGTATATATTGTTAATGAGTAAACTAGATTAATTGAATGATCAAATCAAAATAGATTTTTTCGTTTTTTGGAAAACCTCGACGTCTATGGTACGAGGGAAATTAAAAAGTTACACCTAGGCAGGAGGATAAAAGTCTTACCTCTCATAAAGCAAGAAAAACAAAATAGATTAATTTCAGCGAATTCTTTGTTACAATATCAAATTAATAAGAATACCTAGAGTAAATATCATGGTAACTGTAATGGAATCCATTTAATTAGTATAAACAAAGTCAAACAAAAATGTCACACATAACACATTTCGTATATACCATATTTGTAGTTACTATTTAAATTGATGAACTCTATTTCTAGAGAAGTACAAATATGGTACCATAGTAGGAGAAACTAGTTAAGAGATTGTTTGATATCCTTCTTGGACCAAATTTTTTGTTTTAAAATCTAATGAGGTATTAAGTAATTAGCTGCATTTATCAATTTTAAAAACAAAACAAAAATTAAATCCGATAAACAAAACAAAACAAAACAAGCTCTGAAGCACTCATTTAATTATTAATCATCTCGAAAATTAAGAAACTCTAAAGCACTCGTCTGTTGGTACGCTCCAGTGGAGGTCATACCATGAGGATTATCGTCAGGAATCATTGCAAGGCAAAACTCGATATTTCCATCTTCATTCGTCACCATAAAGTAAGCATTCGACGCATCCAAATTCAGATCGGCATTGAGGTCGAAATGGAACATGATCCGCGGAAACGACGTAAAAGGTTGCCGATTATAAGTGGAAATTTGAAATGATGGAGTTGATAAATTAGAGCATCTCCAAATGAGATGTCAAATCTAATATGTCAAAATTTTATATGATGGCTGATGTGGCAAATTGAATAAAAGTGCTAAATTCTCTTATTTTTCAATGAATGTGTCAAATATTTATTTTATTATTTTATTGGGCCTAGAGTTGCATTAACTATTAAAAAATAATCAAAATTAATTGTCGTTTTTATTCTATTGATTGTTAATGGGATCCATGTATTAAAAAATTCAATTAAATATATTTGACTTCTTTGTTTGTTGTAAAAAAATGCAACTACAAAGTCCAATGACTCACATGCCACATATCATATATGACATATCCATTGGAGAACATCTAAATATCTTTTAATCCTATTTGACATATTTGACATCTCATTTGGAGATGGTCTTACAATCCAAAGAAAAAATAAATAACCACCGATTCTTACATGCCAATTTTAGACTGAATTAATTAACATGCATGTGTGGGTTTAAACAGCTTTTTTCAGTAACCTTGAGCAAACTGAAAATTGTCTATAACCACTCATTAAGTCAAAGCATTGACAATTCTCTGATATGGCATAAACGAGATGTGCAATACTAATGGATGCACGAAGAGGTATTTATCAACGAAGAAGAGAACAAACAGAAAGATGGAAAAGAAGTGGAGCCTCTTCATGTTTCCATCTCTAATTGTTTTTATTCATTAATCAATTTTGAATAACGAATATAAGTGAGGGATGAGGGTTTGGCGTTTTTATTTATAAACAAAAATCTCTTGAGAGAACACACTTTGATTTGGGAGACGTATGGGGACGGAGACGTATATACCAACTCCATCAATTAAAAGATAATATATAATTTCACACGAAAAAGTTATTTGGTGTAACTGATTCGTTTTGTTACCATATGTACTGGTGCCGTGGTGCGTAATGTCATTGCCTAGATTTTACTCTACAAATTTGCCAAATTAAGCATACCAAATGTCCATTCAAGAAGCCCAATATATGGCATGTTAAGAAGGAAGCCAATTAAGCTGTGCACAGACTTGCACCTTTCAGTCTTTCGTACGGAGCATGGATCAAGATTTAATTTGGTTCGAGGGGCCCAGAATTTTCATCTCCTTGTTGAGGATAGTCATATGTAATATATTCGGTTAAATAATAAAATATTTTGGTAATAACGCAGAACAGTGTACTAAGATAATAACCTCGCAAGTCTTAAAATCCATTAAGACCTGCGAATATGTAAAATAGTATCTGATGATATACAAGAGAAAATAACACAAAAAAACACATACTTAGGGAACTTTTTACTTAAAACTCCTATTTTCTCAATTCAGCTATTTCTCAAAATTTCTTTGTACCTAAACTAAACTGAACCTCATCTCTAATTTTTGCAACACACCACATTTGGTATATTTTTTTTCATTTTGTAGCAAGTAGCTAACCAAGGTTACAACTACTTGAAATGACTCTTTTGGAGAAACAGTTGGCAAAGCACAACGATCATCTGGATCTGGATCGTCTTTGGTAGGCGTATTCATTCTCGCTGTAATGATCTCTTTACGGACAGGCAATTCTTTCACTGTATCATTTACACTAGGAAGGTGCTCAACATCCATCACTTTTCTATACTGTAGACCATAAATGGCTTCACGCAAATCACACATGCCTTCATCTTCACCATTTTGTCTTAATATCTGACCAGATCTTGCAATGGTGAAAACAATTTACAATGGTTGTTGCCTTCGCATCAGTGTTCCAAGCCCGCATTAACAAAATTGATAGCATTCAATATGTTAAAAACCTGTACAAACTTTGTCGAGTTAGTTGTAGAAAAGTATAAATGGTAAATTTTTGTAATCCGTTCAACTTAATTTGAAGATATCTGTACAAGCTTTCGTTTACTTTTAATGATTTAGATAGTTTCATATTACACTTTTCAATGTAGTTAATATATATGTTACCGCATATGCAAAGCCACATGAAGACCAAGATGGGCACGAGCTCATCCTGAATTGTTTTTTATTTTATATCCGTTATCTGTTAGTTTTAAACAAAAGAGCATGTAGCTCATTAGTTATTGGGGTTTTAATGTTCCTGCGCTCCATGGGTTCAAAACTTGCTCCATGGGTTCAAAACTTACATCCTTAATATATTTTTGAACCATAAAACAAAAACACCTTATAAAAATTAACCCTTTTTTATGGCGGTTGATATAAAACAATCTTTTTTTGTTGCTTGATATTAAACAAGGTTAATTTAGAGGAAAACTCAATTAAATTAAAAAATATCTCATAATAATAGTATTAAATTATGATTTTAAATTTGTGTCCGAATCTAATGTTAACTTTTTATCAAAACTCGTAACAAGTTCTTTTTTTTTTACGATATAATTATCTCAATACTAAATTTTCATACATTTTAAAGGTCTACCACAAGACTAAATTTTTTGCTTACATTCAAAATCAACATATAGACATAGAAAAACATGAAGACCATCCACATCTTTTCTATCCTTGTAGTTGTTCTCTTCTTCAGTACTATTGGTAAATGTTTCTTCATCCATTACTTTGTATGTTAATTTCTGATTGGACATGTTAAACACGTAACTTATATTCTCTTGTCAAACTATTTACCAACGTAAATAAGAATTGGTCTGACATCATAAAAATGGATCGGGACGTGCAATTTATCTTAACGAAGAATATATAATCTATATTAATATGCGCGTGTGGCTTGCAATTGCAGGAGTTGAGGTTTTGGCAAATGAGTATACAGGTCATGCTTACGGGAGAGTAGAGGTGATGCCTAATTGCCAAGAAAAGATATGCAACGACTTGTGTCTTGAAAAATATGCAAAGGGTGTTGGTCTCGATGCTAAAGGCTATTGCAAAGGCGATAAATGTCTTTGCATTTTCCCCTGTTAGAAATAAATTTAGTGATTTATGATAATAAGGTTGATTCAATTAAAAAACCACCCGAGTATTGGTTTAATATTAATTATGTACTTTTTCCAAATATTAATAGAAAGAAAGGGCCACCATATTTTCCTATATATCTTTAAATTTTTAACTTTATAATCTTTCTTGTTAAACTATCTTCACGAGTTGTAAATAAAGTTATTCAGAAGCAGATGATGTTTTACCTCCACGACAGAAAGAAATCATTCTTATGCACAATGATGCTATTTCAATTCCTAATTCTCCTTTCTAATAACTAACTATTTAATTCATTAACGCTATTATTCTATTAAAAAATGAAGTTATTTATAAGAGTACGTAAATTGTAGTAATGGTCCATCAACTTTAACTCAATTGGAGAAATGGTCCATTAACTAAAAAACCGTGACCATTAGTCCCTTAACTTATCAAAACGTGCAGCTATGGTTATTTTTGTCAATTTCGTCAGAACTTCCGTCAAAATGAGTCAAGTGTGGGCACATGAGGCTGAATGAAGGGACAAAAATATAGAAAATTAAAGGAGAAA